CGCGTCTGCCTCCGCGACCCGAAAGGAGAAGCGGCGATGGAAGATGAAGAAGATGAAGATGAAGATAAAACTTATTCGAACAGAGCAGCGCCTGTGAGGGAAAGAAAGACCGCCGCTGAGGCGCATGTATTCTGTCATCAGGGCTACTCAGGTGAAACTTGTCATGAAAGGTCTCCTGTTGTACATGTCTTCCGTGTTATTCAATATATCGTTCGTTTTGAACTTCGACTTCTGTAAGCTTTCTCTAAGCTGTAAGAAAGTTGAAAGGTCAACAGTTCCTACTTACCAAAATAACAAACCAGACTCTGCTACTCGTCCCCAGTAACTTGGGTTTCATCCTATGCTCTAAGTTTATGCGACACGAATAGGTTAAATCAATAGCCACTCGTATTTGACGCGGTTTCATCTTCATCCAAAGTCTAAAGCAACGACATACGTGCTCTAAGTTACATGTCATACTTCCATTACATATAATATTATTAATTCTACCATAATCTCACGATGTCGCTACAAGCTTTTACGTTAAACCCTCAATGAACAGTACTCTTCCACTACTATTTCTTACAGTAGTTAAGGTCGTTCTACAGCAACAGCCAATTTGAGCTGAATTTACTAATGGAAAGAACTAGAGATGGCCGGACTGAAAATAGGTCTACGAGACACGGGTAAGACCGACGGTCGATCAGAAAAAGTTTGTAAGCTCAATAACGCTCGGCAAACTGCATGCTTTTTTGCATTTGCAGTATGGCAAACAACATACTAAAAACAGTAAAATTCATAGCTTAATTAATTATGGTTAAGGAAGTCTTAAAATATGAAAAACAGTGCAAAAAGCGGCAGTACTCACTGATAACTCAGAAAGCAACTGTAACTTCTAACGTCATATGTTACGTAAATCCTACTGATTTACTAAGCATTCTTGCTTACGCTTTGACCATGTACGTATGTTTTGTCGCAGCTAATACTGTGTCGTTGTTGTACATTCACGGACAGAAGGTGCTCAAACATGCTCAAACACTTCAGTCTTAGCCGACGTAAATCCGCCCCCCCCCCCAACTCGCAGGCTTGTAGAAGCATGGAGGCGGAGCGACTTTGATGCTGTAGAACATATATCCGTATGAGTCGCTCTTTACGATAGTATCAGTGTAAACTGACTCTCACGGCTGAACACAATCCATAATGCTGTGATCTATGCAGTGAAACGCCTTGGCATTAAAATGTATACCATCTGCTGTTTCTGGTGCTCCGAACCAAGGATCGCTCTACGTATACAACAATGGGCCCAGAATCAGACAGCTGAAAAATCATTTATAAACTGTTGCACTATTACGTTTGACATATTTCATTACACCGTCTATTAAATTTCATTATCTTAAAATATTTTTTTCATAATTTCTGCTAAAGCAACAATTTTCCGTTTACTGCAAATTAAATTAGCCGCAAATAATTTATTAGCTTATGCAATGTAATTGCTAACGGAAAATCGTACATCATATCTAACAAACCATGTACAGTGAAGATTATTGCTATGGTACGCAGGAGCTACCGAACTTCCAGCAAGTCATCAGACAGTTAGAAACAAAACGAAATAATATAATGAATACGAGAGAAGACATGAACAACGGATCCTTCATGGCAAGTTCGGCCGAACCTGACATCTGAATATGTTCGGCTCCCTTATGGTCAGGATTACGTGAGAAAATCAATGAATAAATTTTATTCGCCTGAGAAACGGAGGCAGTTATCAGCACAGCATGGTATCATCACCAACTACAGACATCAACTGTATGTAATAATGAGGATAAGGTGAAAAGCTGAAACACGATACATCTAAATGCATACTGCCTCGTACTTGGTCCTGCACTATGCCTACAATGTACACAAGCTTCAGTGCTACTGGCAAAACCTTCAAAGTATTTACAGTCATGTGCTTCCTCGCTTGGATCAAGGGTCACTAGGGTAATGGAAAAAGGTACAGCTGACCAAGAAACCTCATCACTCAGTATTGTAGGCTGATCCCCTCAGCATCTCTACATGCAGCGGGTGCCAACAGCCACAGAACAATAAACCAAAGCTATCAGAATGCATTAAGTCGCTAATCTCTGAATCTTGAAAACATATTACATCATATTTACCCAACCGACACCATCACAACCAGTTCTTACCCAATTTCGGGACATCGATAAGCAGCGCGCATTGGACACGCCTTTGAGAAGCAAGAATACTGTCTATGTCAAAGTACGAGTCGTTCATATCACTCGAACTCCATGCCTCTGAACGAGAACAGGCAGCATAT